AGGTTTCAGGAAAACTGAAACCGTTAGGATGGAGAAATAATATAATCTTTCATCTGTTTTTCCAAGAGAAATCCCAGGCCAGATGCAAAGGCAGGTAGCACAGGCTTAGAGGCACTCAGCAGTGTTTCCCCAACCCCAATTATTACTGTAGCTTTCCTTAGTACATCTTTATGATTTGTACAACAAACCCGAATGTACAAACTAACCCAAATTATTCACCTAGCTTTCATGCACTGTATTTTCAAGTCAAACCAAAAGGGGACACAGATCTGAACTCTTACAGAGGGCTGAGGTTCACGACTTGGAGACCTAGTTTGCTTTTCAGATGATGGATTTATCTAGATTATGTTATATATATATGTAATATGAATGTCAAAAAGCTGAGTCAGCCATACCACAGCTATTAGGATCCTCAAACGTCTTCCTCCTTAATGCTTGCTTACCCCTACTCTATGCAGTCAGATGAATATGAGTTGTTTGTTCTGGCAGAGGGACAGACAGTCTGTTTTCCCTTACATGTATACAACTAATTTCAAGTCACTAGTGTTCTAGCTGGTGATAAAAGAGCTATCTTAAGCTTTTCACAGAACACAGTGACACTGTTAAATCAGCACAGCATTTTGATTAGCAGAAAGATGAGAGCTATACAGCTTAATGAGAAAAAGGAGCAAAATCTCTTCTTTACTTAAAACTCCAGTTTCAAAGCAAATAGGTGGCTGTATTTTTCTGTAAGTTAAAAATTTTCACCTTACTACTGATTCAAGGCTATTCAGTGTCAACAATAGCCTGCAATATTTGAGTAAAAAAGAAAAATTGCTTTCATGCCTTATTGCTCATTTGGTTAGACCTTCTTCTGTGGGTGCAGCTGTGGGGTCACAGCCTGTGGGCTTGGTGACTTGAAGGACATGTAGCCTCTCAAAAGTCTTTCTTCAGGAGCTTTGAGGCTCACCCTTGTGTGCATGTTCCCTTTCCAGTACGCTTGTTCTTGAAAGCAAAGGATGGTGGTTTGTCTGCTCTGTGTTTACAGAGAGCATGGACCTCCAAGGTTCTTCTGTAGCTTACACATCCCCTTACACATACATATCCTTTATCTTGTCCTTTATCTCATCCTTCCCTTAAGGTAGAAGTCATAGAATCATAGAATAATTTGGGTTGGGGATATTGCCAGGAAAGTCGAGTTCTCCTTGGCCTCCTCCAAGAGCATTTTCTTATTTTTGGGGCAGAAGTGAGCCCACTGACTTTCCATTCTGGTTATAAGTGATCTTTTGATCAGCTGTGACCATGTGTCCTTTGGAAAGGTACTTCTAGTAGCTGCTATTGGAGGCTGACCCTAAACCTAAATGCTTTCTAATGCCTAAAACTTCCCAGTAACTTCTAGACTAAATTTATATAAAATGCATTAATGCTCACTTGTTCAAGGGCCAAGGTGATCTTTCAGCTGAAATAGGCTTTCTCCCTTCTGAGGTTTAAATCCACTGTGTTTGTCAAGAGCAGTCTTCTAACACCAGAGATACCAATAGAGAAGAAATGTATTTACTAGCTGACATCTTGGTGAAAGTGGTTGCAGCACTTTGAAATTCATCATTTCAAGATTCTGTGACCCCACATTGGTGTTTCTAGGATTGCTTTACAATGCCAAATGGCCTTAGGCTGCACTCTACATGGTGGCATCCTATCACAGTGCTATCCTGTAGGAATCACTATTGCAGCTGACAAAATTCAGAAGTGATGCAGATATGGCATATCAGACTCCTCACATTAATTCAGATGTCCTTGCATTTAGACTGCTTCATGTGCTTATTCTCCTGCTGTACTAGTGAAAATTACACCCAGACAAACTTGAGAGACATTTAAATTACATTTGACCTCACTTTAACCTATTACTTTCTCTGAACCAAAGAATTCAGTCTGGTGTGTCCTCAGAGGCAAAATCTCTGGGGATTTCAGCTTGATAGGTAGGCTGAATTAAATGTGGTTATTCATGCTGCTTGTGCCAAGCAGAACTGTTCACAACTATCTACTCCTGTTCACTCGTACAGTGTTCTGGGTGTATTTAATGGACTATGCAATAACTTAAAAATCACAAGAGGGGGTGGGAAGGCAGGAGATACTTAAAAGCAGAAAAAGGAATAGAGTGACCTTTTTCTCATGGAAAAAGCAAGCAGAAATAAATGATGGCTTATGCTAACAAAACCCAAGTTTGTCTTTCCAGAAACTGCAACTGAATATCTGTGCCATGGTTTGTCTGTAACGACTGGAGTACATTCTGCACCATTAGTGGGGTTCAGCTAAGACCAGCATCTCCATTGAGATGGCAGAAGCAGTGCTAAGCTTAGTTTAACACAATCTGCAGAAGCAGCTCTGCACAGTTGCTATAACACTATGTTAAACTAGGCTAAACTCTGAATACTGCTATAGTCACTGCTTTTGGAACCACTCTGGATTCAGTCTGTCAGAGTGTTCCTCTCCTTTACGAAATACGTAATCTCATTTAAAATCTAGTCCCCTGAAAGATACTCAGTGTGGGGGAAAAACAGGCAGACAGAGTTCCCTTGTGCCTGCTGATATAGTAAACTTACCGATTGCTTATCTGCAGTAACACCAAACACAATTTTGTTTTTTGTGGGTTTTTTTTTTGTGTGTTTTGTTGTGTTGTTCCCCTCCCCCCCCATCATATTTATGAACACCTTCTTAACCCATACTGTCTCAAATATGGACATTTATATGTGTTGCTGCTTAGGAAAGATCAAGGTCTGAGAGTGTATTGTTTAACTTTTATGATTGTGTTTATTTAAAAAAGTCCTCTTTCCCCTGCTGCACCCCAAACAGTTGCCTTGTATCACTTCACCTATTGGGCTTCTAACGAATTTTTGGGTTTAAAAGTGTCCTGAGCATGATTCTCTACCTGTCACAAAGGAACTATACTCTCCTAACACAGCTCTAAAATGCCTGGCTGACCAGTGGACCTCAACTCTTGATGACTGAGAAGGTGACAATTTCTCTTTGAACAGATGCCCTAACAAGACTTACTAATAAAAGACTGTTATCAGTGAGAGTTAACCCCACCCCACCTCCCTCCCCCCCCAAAAAAAAATCAATCCAAACCCAAAGGTGGGTTTACAGTCAAGTGAAATATTCCAGGTTTGCCTGAAATTACATTTCTAAGAAAATCTGGAAAAACTGTTTCTTTGCCTTTGGGAACAAATTTCTTCTCCCTGTCTTGGCCTGTGAAAGCTAGTGTGTCCTGCAGAAGGAAAGTGCTTGTCCCAGAGCTTTTGGCAGAAGTCCAGCACAGAAAATTGAAGTTCATCTTCCCAAATTCTCTCTGCAATTCTGCATGTCTGCTTGGATAAAGTTGTCTTCCACTCCCTGTACAAACTAGTTTTCTGCTATTTTAATAGCTTCAGAGCAATACCACTAGCATCCGTCTTAAATGATGAGCAGAGTGACCCTTTCAGTCTCTTGCCTATTTGCACTCACTGTTCTGCCATTAGTTAGCTAATGATTTGTGAAATATTTCGTGATATACCTTGTGGTCTTCAGCTGAGCAGTATCTAATGTTAGTAGTAATGGTGATACATACCAAACCACCATTGCATTTCCTCATGCATTTCTTTCATTTAAGTATGTTAAGTGCTTAAAAACTTCTGCTGCATGTTGAAACTTTTAGTTTTTGGCAGCATTAATGGAAGCATACAAGCAGAGCTTTCTCTCGTAGGCTTTCCTCCTGCCAGCAGTTCCCGTTCACACCAGCAATCTCATCAGCTGCATGCAGGCTAAATTTTGCAGCATACCATAGTGTACCCGGAGATCTTGATTCTCCACCCACCCCCATCCACTCGGAGCCCACCTGAGCTTCTGCTCAGGGTTATGGGGAAATCAGGAAGCAGAAGATGCTTGTGTGCAAGTAACTTTTGCCCTAGCACAGCCCAGGAACCTGATCAGGGCTCACCCCTGTGCCTGAGAAGGAGTAAATGCTCCTGCATTCATTAGCCTAATGGCAACTAGGGACATAATTGGGATTATTCATGCTACTCCAACTGGGAAGATTGGAGCTCTGTTGCATGTGAGATCATATACACAAAGCCAGCACTAAGCTCCCTCTGACTTTGGAAAAGCCTGGGTATAAGATGGTATCCTTACTACTGAGAGCTGGAATGAAAGACATGTAGAGAAACCATTGGAAATCCACAAGCACTGGATTACCTTGCAGCTTCAGAGTATCTCTCTAAGCACCTAAACACAGCAGCCTGGCGCAGGTGATTCCGGAAATAAGATGGGTTCAGAATAATGCTCCTTCAAAAGATGAGAAAGAGACGTGTTTCAATTTCTATTTTGTAAACCATTAAAAGCTACTAACAATCAAACTGTAAGAATAATACTGTACATACTCTATACAGGTCAACACTGTATGCCTCAAATGTAACATGCACTC